TGGCTGTGGGGGACCCCTCCTCCCCCCCAGTTGCTGATTTGGTTGCTGGGAGGGGGCACATGCCCCCACTGACTAAGGTGGCACCAGTCACCCATGCCAGTTCAGGTGTTTACATCCTCTATTTCTCCCTTTTTTATACTGGTGTAATGCTGGGTTGCTTGTTTTTGTTTTCATTCAAAAAAGTAAAAACTAAGATCACATTTGTGTTTTGAAAAGTTGCTCTTGTGGTTAAAATACTGCCAGTAGCAGGTAACATTTAAATATGACATTTTACAGTTTTAAATATAATTTAAAACTACCTTTTGTAGCAAATGTTTTAATAGTGAAAACTGCTAATAGTATCAGTTTTGTACTTTTCATTTACTGAAAGATGTGAAAAAACTCCATGAACCTTTTTCCTGCACAAGGCAATGCAGTGTGTGTTCTCCAAATATTTTTAGATGAATTTGTATGTCTTGGATATCACCTGCTCTTTCTGTACTACAGGGAGAAGGCATTTTACAATGGTGGCTTTGCCCATCGTGCCAGAGAGGAAATGAAGAACATTGCTGTGCTCAGGCACTACTGGGTGACCTGGCCAAGCTAGATTTATTTAACTTAGATATATTTATTTGGTAACCTTATCACCAAACCAAAGTTGAATCTGCTACAAACTACTTTCTTGAGGACTAAAAGACCAATAGGTTTTGAGACTTATTGCAAGTGACTCGCCAACTATGATTTAGCATCTCTCATTGCTATGCAGAAATGTAGAGGGTGCATTAAAATGGAGCAGTGTGGAAAGGTGTCTTTTTTTTCATAATGTGTAATCCCTTATTTGTTGTTAAAATCTTTAGTCCCAGTAGAATAATCTTAACTTATTGCGTTATAGACAAAAAAAAATCCCTTGCCCATCTTTTTGTCAATATTTGTCTGTTGTTTTTTCCTTAAGTAGGATTTCCTTTTTGAAAATCCTCACAAATGTTGAAGAAAGCTGGGATCTAACTGTTCAATGTGAATAGTCTCTGAAATTTCCCTGTCTCTTAATTGAAACAGAGTCTGTTTGTGCAAATCATGTTATACGCAACTTACACTACACTATCTCTAATTTTAGATTTTAGGATTTAACTTAAATAGAGATCATTGTGTGGACAAACCATATGGTTGAATGTTATCCTGCTGACCACACCTTCACTAATGTAAGCATCAGTAAGGAAATCTAAATGTGGGTTTTTTTTGCAGATGAAAATTCATTCACCCTCCCCCCATAAGCAGGTTCCATCAAAATGCAACGACTACTTCTTTAACTACTTCACACTTGGAGTGGTAAGTTGAAGACTTAAATAATTTGAATTGTCCATCCAGTGTTCCCTTCATAATTGTCTAATGTCAGAGTTTCATATTTTGTGAAACCTTCATTTGCTGCCTCACAAATCTGACTATGGAAGATGAGACTTTATTTGATGTTTTTATGAACTTCCACCAGTGCATAAAGGCTCTGTAAAGTTTGGGGTTTTTTAATCTTGGTGTTGCACAAGCTTTCTTATCTCAAGTTATGCTTAATGGGTAGGAACCACAGGCTCTTGCTTAGAGATTCTAAGCTCCTCTTGCCCCAGCAAATGCTTTAAAAGCATGCCTGTGCCTAACTGTCTTCATGTTTCTCTGGTATTTGTAACCATGTTTTTTCCATGCTCGTCTTCAGTTTAACATGATCAGGAATTGAGGTTCTAAATATCTTGAATGAGTATAAATTGAATGATAATAGGCAGACAAACTTTTTTATAGAAGTTGCCAGTGTTACAAATATTAATACATTGTCCTGTTAGCAATATAATTATGGTTGGGTTGGCATTTTATGGGGGAAGTAATGAATTTGCATTTACAGATATTTCTCTCTTTTTTTTTTCTTTAAATAGCACCTTTTCTTGTTACTTTTAATATGTAATTATACCTGCCTTGATGTATATTTAGGGTACACTATATTCCTTCACAACTCTTTCTGTTCATGTCTCTCCTTTTTTGCAATAGGATATTCTTTTTGATGCAAATACTCACAAGGTGAAGAAGTTTGTCCTGCATACAAATTATCCTGGTCATTACAATTTCAACATGTAAGTGTAAAGTATTACCCTAAAAATGAATTGCAGATCTGCCACCCATAAATCCTGTAGTCTCTGCCAAGCAGCTTTTGGCCACTATTGATAGGGTAGAATTTAGAGCCACCACTAATGGGGCTATTTTTCAGTTCTTTTGTGAGTTCGTGTATATTTTGAAAGAAAAAGTCATTTGGGCACATGTACAACACTTCCATTGCTATAAGGATGTGAAAAGCATTTTTTGTGTGCTGTTCGGTACTGGGGAAACCTCAGCTGGTAGGTATCCTTTGCCCAATTTGAGGTGCCATATTTTAAGAAAGATGTAGAAAAACTAAAGATCAGAAGACAACACACAGAGTGATGAGAGATTTAGGAAATGTTGAAACATGGAGGTTTTTGAAAATAGGAACGTAAATCTTCAAGTATGTAGGGTGGGTTGAGAAGTAGTTGGCTTAATTACAGATGGAGAAATTTAGGGTTATAAGAAAACCTTTCTTACTGTGGGAACAAATAAATCCTGGCATTGGTTACCTACAGAGTAGAATTCCAATTTGTGGAGGTTTTTAAGAACAGGCTGACAGACTTCTCTGAGGGATGGTTTACAAATACTTAATTTTGCCTAGAAGGACATGAATGAACTAGATGATATTTGAGGTCTAGATGTATGAGAAGTCACAGTCGTCTTTGGAGGCAGGAAGAAGTATTGCAGAATATTTTACAACATGTTTACAAATACAATATCACAGCAGAGTTAGTTAATTTGTTCTTTCTGAGACAATAGTTATGAACATTGGTAACTTAAAATGTTTATCCCAAGAAGTTATTTTTCTCAGCCTCTGTTAGTCTAATTTTCTCCTTAGGAACAGTCCTTAGATGCATTTTTTTGGTGTCTTTTCAGGAAGACAAAGCAGTATATGGCAAGTTTTAGCTATTAAAACTACACAAGTGAATACACTGGATTGTTACAGCTATATGGAAGCAAAATGAGCAATTGAATGTATCTGCATATATTTACAGCAGGTTGTCTTAATATGCCATGCACTTTACTAGTTTCGCATTCAGAACAGATGACACTGAGATCATACTAATCACTAAAAGTGGTACTAGTCTATGTAAGTCATAGCAGAATTCTGTTCCTTTCTTTGAAATACTGATGACCCGTAGTAGCAAATGTATTTTTCAGGCACCAGTATGTAGTACTGTAACACTTTCTAGAAATGTAATCCTTTCCTTTATGTCAAAAGGTAATTATTTGCAAATATAATGCTTTTTAAAATTTCCTACATCTTATTTCCCATCTGGTCTCAATCCTCTGACACATTTTCCACAACAATTTGATTCATAAGCTTTTTTTTTCCTATATTGGAAAGGATTTTCTGGAATAGATATACTAGCAATTCTCCTATTAAAGATGCAGCTTATATTGTTAAAAGAAAATACTTCCATTGGTATATTAGTGTGTTTGTGACTTTTACTAGATTAACTGTTTGTCAGTGATAATTTCTCTCCTATCCCCCTTTACATTCATAATGGACGCATCTTGGCTAACCAAACTTTTAAGTGCGGACCAAGTTATAGAGGACTTTAACTTAAGGAATGAGCAATAGGAAATCTGAAGAGCAAGAGCCTGTTGTTAGTATTGGGGAATGAAAAAAATCCAACAACTGAACATTGTTTCTCCACTGAACAGTTTTCCATCAACTTGGTGGCATCAGCAAGGTTTTGATATGCAATTGACTTTCCTTAATAAACTTTAGGAAATGTTGTCACTTCATTATTAGTCTGTCTTCTTCCTTCATAAAGAAAATGAAATGTTAGTGTTCTCCTCATTAATTTATTAGCATTGAGGCTGAGAACAGTTCACATAAAGAATAACATTCATCAGATTGTCAGTGCTAACAAATTAATAGTTCAGTCAGACTATTCTGTCTGGTTTCTTTTCCTAATAACTTTACTATTGCAATTTTTTAGTTACCATCGTTGTGAATTCAAGATTCCACTGGCCATTAAGCGAGGTGAGTAGCTTATCCTTATACTTTATATGGTTGTATCATAAAATACAAAAACAGAAAGAGGACCAATTTTCTCTTCAAATGCAGTTTTAAACTGCAGAAGTTGTTAGCGCTGAAGGTAGAAGTGTGAAATCTTCTGAACAGAGAAATGTAGTACATTTGGAATAACATTAAAGGTTTAACTTTTATAGTTAGTTCATTAATAAAACTGAAGTAATGGTTTCTTTATTCTTAGAACATAGGTATGTGTGCTGCAACACACCACTGATTTCCTGGAGAACTGCTCCATAGAAATTGGGTTGCCCATTAAAGTTGTAGAATGGCATGGTGAACCTGAGAATATTTTTCCAAGCACCTTTTTGGTATTGATTTCATGGTGCCATATAAAACTTTTCTTCTCCTTAACTCCTTAACTGATCCCCTGGAAAAGCTACTTTGATTAAACTGGGTGTGTCTGTGTGAAAACTTTACTGTGCAATTGACTAATTAGCTGCACAGTAAACATTTCAGCATCTACATGTGCATCCCTTTTAGGCTGGAGTAAACTAATTTACTTTGCAGCAGGAGCAGGATAGTACTTGTAAATACTGCAAAGTAAAAAACTAGCAGTGTACATGTAGATGCTGGAGGGACAGGCTGTGGCCCAAGGGTGCTTTTGTGCAGGGGAGCCTGCACAACTCCTTCATGCCCCAGCCAGCCCCTCTGCAGCAAGCTGAGCTAGGGAGAGCTGCCCTGGGTTGGCAGGCTGATACCCCAGGGCCCCCTGGTAGCCAGGGCTGCTCTGACCTGGCTCTGCATGCTGCTTATGTATAAACTCCAGCATTGATTGCTCCAAAAGTGATTTTTCCTGGGCACACTGAAACTGGCATGTAGACTTGGCCACTGTCAGTTAGTCTGTATAAGCATGACAATGCGAACCTCCACTAAGTGGAATATGTTTTTCCCTAACAGATACTTGGAAATTTCCAGACTCAGAAAAAAGGATAGATCTCTGCTTCCTAAATTTCTTGTTCCATTTTGACCCTGATTTAGTAATGTATAGTCTCATTAACACATGCTTAAGTGTTCCTTGATTAAGGCCTTTGTGATCATGTTTTAACAAACAACTTCCTGCCTTGTCCTCCTCCTGTTTTACCTGTGGCAAGTTAGTGTTCTTGATGTGTTCAGGCATTGTAGCCTGTGGATAAGAGTTGCTAATGCAGTTTTAAGAATAGGTTAGACAAATACTTGTATAGGATGCATAGATAAAGATGATTCTGCCTTGAGCAGTAGGTTAGATTAAATGACTTCCTGAAGTCCCTTCCAGCCCCTTTTCTGTGTTGTCTAACACAAAAACAAGCATGTGCTTATGCATCTTTCTGCATTGGGATTTTAATACTGGAAAAGGATGCAGGATGCTGGTTAAACTGCTGCCCAAGATCTCTTTCATTGTCCCTTGATTATCTCTGTTAAAAGTGCTCTTCTTCATAAACCTTGGTACTTTCACTGAAGACCAGGGATCCTGGCTTTCTGTGATTAAAAAAACTCCCCAGTTTTCAGGCT